GTAAAAAATAAACAACCGAGATACTTTAAGCGGCTGTTTGATGGTCGGATGTTTGATGATTGGTATTATAAATTTTATTATAACAAATTCTGTAGTTTATTTAAATTGTTTTAGTACCAAAAATAAAAGAAAACATAGGAAGGTCACACTTACGGTGATATTGTTTAGTTTAATTATTATTTTTCTTTATATCTGTAACAGTCCCAAAATATAAATTAATACTTGGGTATGTTTGAACATAACTATTAGTTTATCAGTATAAAAGCAGTAGAAATGATAAAACTAAATAACATTAAATAATAATTTTTTTTTTAAAACACAAACTTTAAAAATTACCTAATTATAATAGGTATAAGTATATATTTATAAAATTTTTTTAATAAAATCAGTATCTTTTGATTATTATACAATTATAATATATTATCTTTTCGGTTGTAGAGTTCAATAAGTTACAACTTTTTAATTAATTTTACAAATTGTAATTAGGGAGGTATACACTGTATAATATTATATATACGAAAATAAGACACGCAAACATTTTAATCAACCTCCATAACTTAATCATATTATTAATCTGAGTCTTATTAAACGTATTTATTTTATTTTACACGATTGCTACTTTCTGAATACGTGTGCAATAATTGATCGCCCAGTGTGTAAGCCACTTCAGTATAGGTCGTCAGCCAACGAATATTTCATAATTTGTTACACAGGTATATTGTAATCAGTAATTTAATACAGTAATAACATGCCGTTTATAATAACATATATTATGTAGTTTCAAAAAAATTCAAGTCATAACTAAAATCGTTATTTTTTTGTTTTAAAACTACTCTCGTGCCTCGTGCACCGGAACAGCGGTGAATAATTAATTCATATACATAGAATAAAGTCATAGAACACAATGGGTGTGTGTAGGAGTCTGTAGTTATTGAGTCCGAAGCTACCAGGGCCCCATGCCGTAGTAGTCGTAATATTGTTCGTACAAGGACTTGATACTTTTCGTCAATAGATGCGTTAGATGTATTCAATATTGTTATTGTACATAATGATATTATTTTTGAAATATTATTTAGCGTATATATTATTCTAATAAGGACATTGCAAACGTTATTAATTGTTTATCAAAACAACCTTAGTGACAGGCAAAAATTAAGTTAAGTACTTCTAGAGGTCCGTTTAGCCAGCACTGCCACTTTCGAATCTCAAAATCAAACCTTGACTAATTTGATGACATTAGTTAGACATATAGTTCAAATATGAGATACGTTCCTAAAGCACATCAAGACATTTTCATGTAGAACGAATAACCATTATGGAGTTAAACGATGAAATAAAAGACAGTATCAGTGAGCCAAAACCAAAACAAAATAATGTCGAAGTTATAATTTATACATTTTAATTATGCTCATAATACAAGTTCGGTTTAATTTTAATTTTAATAACTACAATTTTTAAAAGCAAGGTACACATTTTTTAAATTTAATATAGGGCATGCGATCACCGGGAAATGTTCGTTCCCTAAAGGCCAATTTTTAACCAGTGACAAAAAAAAACATAAATGTTAAAGTTTTATGATATATCTTGTAGAATAGTTTGTAGGTTATCAGAAGGTATATTTACATAACATATATATACATATACTTCTTGTATTTAATAATGTAAACAAATAACTACTAATAAATATGTACAAAAATTAAAAAGTGCAATAATGTTTTATTTCACATTTAAATATATCCTTTACATCCATATTTCAAACCTCCAATTTTGTTACATCATTTTTTAAATATTCATAAATAGTTTAATACTTGTACTACTACTACTAATATACTTCAACTTGGATTAATATAAATACATTTCAAATTTAAATATAGTGCAAAAGACTAAGACGTATGTAAGTATTACCTGTATACTAGGCAGGTACCTATACTACTATTTTATGGATAACAAAAGTTAAATAATAATTTGTATAAGTAGGTATCTAATGAATTAGAACAGTATAAGGTACTCTGTAGTCCGTAACACTGACCCTAGAAAAATGAAATAAACTTTATTGCTGGTTGATGGAGAAGGGGGAAGTAAAGGGACTGCATTTTTTTAAACTAAAGAAACAATTATAATATAAGAATTTGACGAACACAGAAAAAAATTCTACTCCTAACACTTACCTTACAAAGGTCCGACCTATGTGATCAAAAATATTCCCCCCTCCCAGATATTGCCACGGGCCCGTGTTCGCTCTTCATGGCTCAAATGTACAGTAGAGAATTTTGTGACCTTATTTATTCAAAATTAGGCAATGGGAGCGATAAAAATCAGAAAATACGGGTTTCATGTCATTTTAACGTTTCTACATTTTTCCAGCACGCGCATGGCAAAATCATATAATTTTCTAGTGTTTGAGAGGTGTACAAAATGCTATTTTGGTTGGACAAAATTGTAAAGAATAAAGTACGTAATACTGTTTAGTTAAAAATTGAATTTGTTGAACTTGTAGCAAAGATTGGTTCGATTTAAAAAAAGTAAAGGTGAAGTCGCTTATGATCTATAAACTTGCAGTCTACTTAGCATCAGTCGGATTATATTTATTATATATTATAAAATAATATTCAATATTAAAAATTGACTAGTTTATAAAATGTAAAATATTTATTATCGTTAAGAAATTATTAAATTTTAAAAAGTGCTCGGACCAATGCAAAGTAAACTTGTTTACCAATTCAATTATCTTTAATTTTTACTTACTAATTTTTATTGTTATACTGTATATTGCGATCTTATTTAGCCACAATCAGTAATAAATAATACAATTTGAACGTATCAAAAAACCTCGGAAGTTACCTTGGTCAAATCTGCCGTATAGTAAATGCAAAATAAACAATGCAGCTATAACTATTAATTTATTGATAACATTAGTACAACGAGCAATGGCCTATACACTAATTAATTCTAGTAACATTTAACAATATTGGTACACTGTGGACCGTGGTACAGTGTGCACGGCAATTCGAGCGACATTTGCGACGATGCAGTTGACAATGGTTTTGTTTGTCGTTTTCGTACGATCGTCGTCGGTCGCCATTGCAACCCGTCAACTGTTATTTTTATTATTGTCCAGCCACAAGTCCTTAACCGATCAATTAATTAAAAATAATGTCATTCGACTTTGTGTTACATATGGTCCGATTTCAGAGAATTTTTTTTTTAAGTTAAAACAGAATGATAACTATTATTATTAAATGCAAATTACAACGAAATTAGTCCACAGGCATGTTACGTAATATTTTTACTTGTCACGTCCATCGACGTCCATTTTTTTAAACGCTCAACCGTTTCATGTGTGTATCCGGTATGGGCCCTACGAACAGACATTTTTAAATAATAATCCAGCTCAACGGTAATGGCGCGAAGCGTAGTACATTACACGAGCCAGAGTTTGCCCATAGAACGTGTGTACATTTGCCCGTTTTCTTTAGCCAGGCCTGCAAAGCTAACGAAAGAGCAGATTTTTTCGTTTGTGGTATCAACAGTTCGGGCATGATATGCAGATTACAAATTTGTCATTTTTGAAAAAATTGGTTGTATAATACTGAATGTACCTATTAGCAAATAAGCCGAGTATTTCTGATATTGAAAAAGATATTGTGCTCGACCGTTTTTCGTTATTAAGTTTCACGTAGCAGCGCCAGAGACCGCATTACACACCCCCCTCCCCCCCATGCCGGATATGTCGTACATAATATATAATATATACATGTTTATTTAATGTGTACGTCGTACGCGGGGCAGAGGTTCGCGCCGTTGCCAGCTGTGTCTTCGCTTATCGGCACTGTTCGTACTCGTTATGGGCTTTATTAGGACATTAAAATATGTTGACGCGTATTTCGCCGTAATACGTAAACATATAATAACAATGTGTTATTCGTTGTAATTGTTTACACTGTAGTGGGCTGCAGTGTGGATTGTCGAGCTCTCAGAATATTAATATTTGATATCGTTCTGTAATAATTACAAATATTAAATAGATACCAATTTACATTGGTATTTGGTTTAAAATCTGTCATTTGTCATCACTCATCATGGTCCATCTATGAATGAAACCCATTAAACTTAATTTGATTGATTTTTGCATCAAAATAAATGGCTACGGTGCAATGACACTTCAATACATATTGAACGATGGCCTCGAGGGAATACAAATGTTTACATTATAATCATACCAAAAAAAAATTCAAACATGTTAAATGAACAATCATAATAATATAATAGATGAATAAAAAGATTTTAAAAAACCCTGCTAATTATATTACATGCCAGTACCCAAAAATATGTTATAAAAAAACTACTGATATCAACACTTCGTCGAATTCCGTGTAAAAATTGTTAAGTCAAAAAAAAAACCAGTCATTTACAAGACTTCAGCATAATAAAAATGTGCTATCATGAATAAATTCTAAGTAAATTAAATTAAAATTTATTCTATCACAATAATTTATTTACTTTGCCAGAATTTATTTCGACAAATTAACATGATGTCAGTTCGTAACTGGACTATTTAACAAATCTGCATTACAAATGTTAGTAAATTTGTTTTTTAAAAAGGTCTAAATTATAAATTTATAAATAAAATAAATTCTCGCAAAGTAAATAAATTATTGAGATGGAATAAATTTATTTTTAATTTGATTTACTAAGCATTTATTCATGATATCTTTATAATGTTGAAGTCTTATAAATGTCTTATGATTTTTTTTTTTTGACTTGGCAATTTTTTACACGGAGTTCGACGAAATGTTTTTGATGGGTAATAATATTACACCACACAAACCGCAGCCACAGCGCTGTATTTCGTGTGGGGATGTCGTCTGTGTTCCCACCTGCCGCGGATGGTGCGGCGGGGGCGAGGGTCATGCGCAGAACCCATCGAATCGATGTCTACTAGTCGAGAAAAAAAAAAATATTTTATCCGATCCCATCGCTGGCAGAGCAGCAACTGCAGCCGTGAGCGCTGGTTTTTCGGTATGCAGACCGGTTGAAAAACATAATTTTCAAATAATATGCTCATACAGACCGCGCGTCTCGTTACTACGGCGTAGTCGTTTTGTCCAGAACTTTCACACGTTATAGCAACTATTAACGCTACGTATACTGCACTCGTTTTCCGGTCGAGTCGGCCCGAGTCGTACAAGTGGTTACACGCCGCGCTGTAGCAGTTGAGTTCGGCAGTCGTGGCACTGGTCTCGGTCGCTTCGCGCGTCATTTCACCGCCACACGGTCGCCTAACCTGGCCTATCACTAATTCTCTAACAGCGACCATACACGGCACTATGGATGATCCTAACGAGGCACAGGAAGACGTGGACATGGAATGGTGGCACAACTTGGAGGAATTCGAATCGGACTCCGACTCCGATTCTTCTACCGACGAATCCGAAGACGATGGACTCGAAGATGCTGAAGAAAACTCAGACCCCGAGGAAATCATCGTCGACCGGACATATCGATTGCCACAAGTATTGGACCCACAACTGATCCCTAACGGCGAGGATGATGAAGGTGTTGGTGAAGTAGGACGAAGACGACATGACCGGCACAGGGTTTCGAGCCGAGTGTCGCGAGGAGACGACGACGAAAGCTTCAATCGCAGGACTTACGCATTTAGGTAACTATATATTGTATTATGTACATAATTATATTGGTTGCAACAATATTGCGCAGTCGTGTAGCTGCCGCACGATTTTTTTAATTTTTTTTTTTTGAAACACGACGTCTACTTTAACGAGTTAAGAACGATGGTGTGAAAAACCAATTGCACAAATCACTATGGGCGCTTATAAATTCCGTATCTTTTTATACATTTTTTTTTGTGTGTGTGTATTTATGAATTCCACTGGTACTTTTTTACTACCCGAAAAAAAATGTAAATTCCGCCGCTTATCGGCGGTGCCGTTTTCAGCAAAAGATAATTGAGTACTCTATATTATTTTTGTTTCTACGATCTGTTAGTAGTGAAAGGCCACAAATTTCGATACAGCGTGCTGATATATATATATATATATTTATGTTGCTGTAAAAACAGTATATGTCCACAGCGCAGTATTAATAATAATTGTTATTGTCTTTAATGACGTAGACATGTAGTGTGGTTCTATGGTATGTAACAATTAGCTGTGTAATATCATTTTTCTATACTACAGCATTCTTGTTAAGTGTCTGAATACTCTCCAAACGGATGTATTAATTATGTCTGCGTATTTAAATTTAAAAAAAACGTATGAAATAACCGAAATTCGTTTTATACAATTTGGCAACGTAGCCGCGCGTCCAATGCCATGCGCGCCTTTTCATAGGTAGTCAAAATCGTGTTCTTTGTTATTCGGTCACTTCTATATTTTGTACCCGAAGAGATACGACAATGCCGGTTAACCGTGCACTAACATTACAGCTGTTGAATTCGTTCACATTTCGTCGGAGGCTCGGCACGACGTTGGGACGTGTTTTAACATCGACTACGATTTATCGTATTAATATAATAATATACGGCTATAACATCATGCCAGGCTCCGACCACATATTGTTAAAAAGTCAAATGAAATATTTATCGGTGAACACCGGGATTTTGGTAGCCATCGCTTCTATTGTGTTCGATCGCTGCAGGTCAGTCCACCTATTGTCGCCATTTTCAATTTGGTAACTGCTCGCGGCGAGTACCGAATAAATAGGCTTAATTTGGTACCCTATATCGAAGGGTTGTGATCGATAAAACAAATTAAATTATTATAACTCCTGTACGACGAACAAGCATCGAGTTTTCTGATTTCACCGTCATATTATTCTTATGTCGGGTAAGTAAGATACATGGAAAATTGAATAGTCAAGAGAAAAAAAATTAAAACTCTTCGTATCGCATGCGGCAACGAAGTATACCTAAGCAGCGTAGTAGTTCATATGCGTTAATCGCAAAATGTGGTAAGACATAACTTCCAAAATAATGGTTTTGCAGAATTTTTTCGCTCAATCGTTCCTATTTATGCACACAGAGTTGAGGGAGTTACGTTTGAATTACCTTTAAAAATTGTAATAAATTAAGGTTTTCTCAAGTTTCTACTATTTTTTTTTTTTTTTTTGTCAAGTCAAATTGCTGTTGTTCACGACTCGCATATCACCGCCTCCCCGCGACGAACAATGAGCACCCACTCCACGCCCAAGCCCAGATCAGCTGATATATAAATATAATGTTTTGCTGTCGGCGGTTACATCCGACGGCGCGGCGTCTGTGTGGCACACTACAGTGCCCGGCGGTGTCGTCCGTCAAGGTCAGTCACGAAGCTGTTGCTCATCTGCCTCTTTCGCCGCACGATCGGCAGGTTTTCTCTCCGCTTCGCTACCAACGCTTCCGGCGTGCACTTCCGAATATCCATAAGTTCGTGCTTCGCATCGCGCATGTTACCCCCTTCAATCAAGTGCGCCGCCGTGAAGGTCCGGACGGACATTTTGGGGGCCCGCTGTCCTAGTGTGCGGCCGGCCGGCACGTTTTGTCGTTTTCCGGCGTGTCCGACGTCGTCGATTTACTAGTACGTGGCTCCGCACGGTCGTAAGCGCGGCTCTTGGTATCTATACCTATTTATTACGTCGTCAATAATCCGTACTGCGCCGTTGTGACGAGTTGTCGAGTGGGACACAGGGTCGTCAATCGCCATCACCGCCGGATCCGTCATAATATTGTCGTCACGGTCGCTGTGTACGCTGGTGAAGCGGGCGTAGTCGTCGCGCATAGGAAGTAACCAACACCCGCCTCCGATCGACGTCGTGATGTTAACCCACCTGTGTGGTGTTGATGTCGTCTCGAAACGTATCGTTATTATTATTGTATTTTTATTTTGTGTGTTCCCGTGACCCGCTTACAGTTTTATGCATACATAATACCGCCGTATATGTGATAAAGACAAAAGTTTTCGCTTATTATTCGTTCATTTTTCATATGATAATTTTGTAATTATCACTGTGGAGACGTCCACGTCTGGAAAAAAAAAATGTCAAAACCTTATTAATTAATTAGTTATTTTATTATTAGCCAACCTGGAGTACGGGTCATTGGGTGCTAACTGTGCAAAAAGACCCCCATTGGTGAACAATTATTGAGTTAAAAAAGTGACTTCAATACAATTAAATTTCCTACATATTTTTTATTTTATAAAATTCACTTTAGCTTAATAATTATATGTTGTTAATCAATGTCAATCAACTAATTAATGGCAATCAAAAGCATGGAATTATATAAATTGTTTATGTAAAAACAATAATTGTTCATCTAACACATTCCATTCTTTATTTTTTACATTTATTTGATGCATTTTCAAATGACTACTCATTAAAACTGAAACTCGTTTTTAATAGGCAATAGCTGTTTGGTATTACAACAATGTTGCTGTCAGAAAATCGTACCTATTCACATGATATATTCACATGAAATTATTTTACTCTTAAAATGTATTAATAACGAGCATTTTTAGTAATTTTGCAATAATAAAGTAACTTAAATTCCGTATAAATTTTTTGTAATAAAATACAATAAGATAACCATTAAATTAATTGCAACGTTATTTCGTTACAATGACTTGCAACTATCATGTCATGTTATTCCCCAACACTGATAAATTACGTATTAAATACTAATTCATTCATTTTTGATGACGATTGCTTTGCCAAATCGCTCGATTTGTCCATGAATTTTTGTTCTCTGCGTAGGTACATGTCTCAGTGGTAGGCACAAGGGGTGCGAGTACCTATATCATCGCTCCCACCCCCTCCTCTCCAATACTTATCACGTCGGGCTGAGTAGGTAACAAATAGTAAATACTAATAATAAAATATTAAATTATATTCTTGTACTGACAAAAATATTAAGAACATTAATGAATTAATCTTACGGTATGAAATTTATTAATTTTATTTGATGGGTGGTGGATACTCACAATGGCTTTGTAGTTTGTATGGCACATTATAACTCACCTCCCCTCTTGGAACCGTTATTATTGTATGATTATTTACTTGTGTCAACAATGAAAATAGTATTCTATTCCTATCGCACAGCTAACCGTTCACTCGTTTCCAGGAAATACCTCAGATCATTGGACACTACTCCTGAAATGACGGAAGAATTGTTTCAAGGAGGATTCAGACCCGAAATAATAATGGGCATGATGATGAAGCGTCGGAGAATATGTTACTTTGCACAGTGGGTCAGAAATTTTAGGCGTGAAACCTATCCATTAGAGGCTAGCGTAGTGAAACGCTATTACCCGAATTTGGTAATAGATTTTCACCAACAAATGGTACTGAATAAAAATAGATTTGAGAAAATATAAAAACATACGTTTTAATATTATGTAAATATTATTTTTTTAACTGTACTATGTAAATGTGATGATTTTTTTTTAATGACCATCAGCCTCCAGGGTTATTTGGATGTGTGGGGGTTACGGTTTGGGTTTGGTATGACACATGTTATTCGTCACCAAAAACCATAGTGACCCATTTAGAGATGCCGTAGCACGCCATAGTTAATACTGTGCCAACCATCCCAATAGCCTCTATAATGTATTTTTAATAAAACAATTACCTATTTGTTCACATTTTTGTATACCTGTACAAATATTGTATTGTTATCACTATTTAATTTTTAAATTTTTTTTCTAAATAATTGTGTGAAATGAAAATATCTAATTGTCTGATAATTATAAATTATGTTTTATATGACTTTAATATACTCAATTATATTCAAAAAATCTTGTGTTTGAAAGTTTCTTACAGAAATTAATATTATCGTTGATTTTAAAAGTGATGTAGTGGAGTTAACGGTAAAAGTTTATCAATGGCTCAAATATGAAATGGTGTTTAAATAAATTATTACTTAAAAAATTGCGAAAGCCAACAATAAAATTTGGTATTTTATATATCTGTTTACATAATGTTGGTCACCATTAACCTGAACTAAATTAATTATTAAAATATGATCAATGACCTACATATTATACAACATAAATTATTATTCAATTCAGTTGTAATTCTATGAAAGAATAAAAATATAGAGTTAACCAACAACTAATAACTACAAATTAATTAAAATGATAAGATTGATGAGTGCCGAATAATCCTATACACTAATGTGCATGAGATACTGAGCTAGTAAATAGCTATATTTTTCTTTTCTCGATGAAGCGTTTTCCCCTACAACACTTCTGCTCATAATATTTATAATAGGTACATTCTGTGAATATGCAAAACGCAATAGTGATATCGTTATTAAAAAGCGATTAAGTGGATGTCGCTCTGCTGTACAGTAGTTTATATCCTACCGTTTAGTACTGATGCCTTAATAACCTTATAATAGTAAAATCAATTACCTACTTTAATCACAATAATATCATACAATAAAATTAGTTACATAATAATATTTATACTTTATAGGTCTTCGCTTAGAATCGTTTTTTGTACACAATGATTATTGAATTCAAACGTAACACATCCATTACAATGACCTTCTAGTCTCTAGACATTGCTAATAATATACGCAGAGCGTTACGCACTTTTATCTGTTTTTTTTCTTTAATTTTGATAATAGGCCAATTAATATAATATATAAGTAATATAAATCTGTAATATGTAAGCTAACAACATAAAATTGGTTATCATTTTTTATTAATATGCCTTTACATATTTTGAAATATCAAGGGTGAACTGAACTTTCGACGGAACTCTTTTCGTTTATACTAATATATAATTTTGCACACTAATCCGTTTTCAATACAATAAATAACAATAAATAAATATATATATATTTATTATCAACAAAAAAGTACTTCGGAGAAGTAAAACAGGCTCTCTGTGCGTAAGTGGAAGCGACTGTGAGAAAATATAGAATTTTGATGTCCATAAAGAAGTGAAATCAATCTCAAAATTCTGTGTCAAAAATGCCCATGGTTGAAAAAGTAGAATTTTAAGATTAATAAAGAAGTGAAACAATCCCAAAATTCTTTGACTCAACTTGAAAAAAAATCCATTCGGAAAAATTTCAAGGTGTTCAAATGTACAAACATTGAAAAAAAAATATCACAGACGGCGCGTATATTAATGATGAAATTATTCATAAATCGGAGTACCCGAGAATTACAGATTGCCAACAAAAATTCGAGTCAGGCAGATTAACTCGTAAGCAAGTCGACAACTCCGATTTATGGCTAATTTCCTCATTAATATACGCCGTTTTGTGCTAATTTTTTTTTTTTAATGTTTTTACAGTTAGTGTATTAGCACAGGGTAAGACGAAAACAATATCTACCGACTTCATTATTTTAATACTTTTTTTCACAGTTTTCTTTTAGTTCTTTTTCGTGCTGTCGATTTGGAAAGTTAAATAATTTATGACCAGTTCGGTACATATTACTCCACAGTTCCCAACACGGCACATTTTTTGACCACTTCTCTTTTTATTTTTGCTCATTATTAAAATTAAGTTTAAATAAAACGGTAAGAACAGACGAATGGTCTAAGCTCGAGGGCCAATTCGTTATGAAAAAGGGTACCTTACAAATTTTCCAGAACTACAAAAGTGTAACCTGCAAGGGAACAAATAATTGAGAACGAGCGTCGAGTACGAGACGGTTGCCGCCGACTTGTTTGAAAACTGTCCGCTAGGCGGCGCCGTTTTCCGTTGTCCGCACGGTGTCTCATTAGCACGGTACCCACGACCGAGCGAACGAATAACGAGAATCACAAAACCGCAGTGTTCAGCTCTGTCTCTCTCGGTGTCTCGTACACCGCGTACGATCAACGCGCGTGCGAGTGAGAAGTCCGAGCGCCGAGACGAGACCCAATGCATAATAGTCTCGCTATCGGTGTTTCTTAAGCATAGAAACGAGCCGCCAGCGAGACCCTTCGACAACGGGCGCCTAAACACTGGTGGTGAACACACACACGCACACACGCGTTCGCCGAGCATACGAGGCATAATGATGATAAATAATAATAATGGTATTTTGTTGGAATGCATTTTCTACGCCACTGACACTGCATAGCGGTGTGACTGGTGTGTGTGTGTGTGTGTGTGTGTGTGTGTGTGTGTGTGTGTGTGTGTGTGTGTGTGTGTGTGTAACAAAGACGACGGTCGAAACGTTTTACGACAGTGGTAAATGGTAATATACGTGTAATATTATACGGTAAATGTTTTTTCTTCGATTCCGGGGAAATAATGTAATGGCCGACGCGGACAAGTCCTGAAAAAAAAAAATTATCGAATCGTAGAGTGCTGCTACGATGCGTGAGATTTTTTCCTGTAAAGAATGTTTCGAGAAAAAAATCACACTTTTTATTTTCGGTCGGGGCCCGATAAATATATATATATAAAGATTTGTTGAACGACGCTGACCGAGGTTTGTGGTTCCCAACCTTTTATGAGCGTTCAACATTTAAAATTCGACGTTTCACGACCCACCGAAAAATCACAACGATCGCAAACATAATCCCCATATTTTTGTCACAATAAAATATTATAGTATAAAAAATAAATAAAAAAAATAGAAATAGAAAATACAAGTACGATTATTTATAATTATATTGATAACGATTTTTTCATCGATATTTTTTTGTTGTTCAATCAACTTGGAAAAATAGTTTTATTCCAAATTCACAAAGAGCATGCTAAAATATCATATGAATTATGCGCTATCACGACCCTCTGGCCTCTATTAAAAACTCCGCGACCCTAATTTGGATCGTAGTGACCTAGCCGGGATTGGAAACCGCTGACGTAAAAATCAAACTTTGTGTGTTTCGGGGATCATAAAATTGGACATTAATTTATTTTTACCAGCATAGTCTACCACTCACACACACATAAGAATAAACGTTATCTGTTTTCGTGAATTACATTTATATTCAATTCTATGTGTGTTCATTATTAAATTATATTCATTAAGAGTTATTATCGTTTCCGCCGTCGAAACCGCACATGCTCATTTGAGCATTATTTTTATAGTTTGCTCGCTTTTATAATATTATGCTGTTGTGCTCTAATCGCCAACTTATTTTTATTTTATTATGTTTTTTATAATAAATTGTTCCTGCGCCAACATTGTTTTATTGTTTTAAGTACTCGAATCGGCTTATTATAAAACTAACTGACTATTTCATATATCATATTTTTCGTTCGAGTATTATTATTGTATCCTCGTGCGCGAATCGCCACTATATTATTTATTTATACTTCAACTTACCATCAATGTGCGTGTTACGTGCGCTAATAGCACTGTGGATTCGTTTTATATTTTTATTATTTAGGATAGGACCAGCTGGCCAGTCTGCACTCCCTAGTTTCCTGCGTATTGTACTATTTATTTGCTTATAAGGGGATTGGATGCGGCGATTTATTAAGGGGTTATGTATAGGCAATTTCATCATTTATACGAGTTACGCAGTGTGTATGTATTAGTAGTAAATTATCATTAGTGTGTGTGAATTCGTTCGGGATTGCTCGTACAACGTCGGTATTTGTCGTGGCTATGGTAAACGATCGTTGCTCACCGCAGTATTATAAGTTATAACTCTATGGCGCACCGTGTTCTTATCTACACACGCTGTATGGATGTTATTCTTATAATTGTTATGCATATATAGTGAATTACTCGTCACATTATTTTTGTATACTCGCTTAATATTATTATTATTCAACAGCCGCGGGCCGTGGATGTGTACCATTGACAAACGATATACCTAAAGCAGCGAGAAACCGTAAATACGCAGCGTTACGAGAAAGATTTTAGTTATTTTGACGTACCTAACTCAAACAATTTTTTTATTGGTTTTTCCCGCTGCGTTGTTAAAGTATTGAAAATTTTTTATTTTGAAAAATATGTTTGAATAATAACAAATAAATTCAGGGCCGTAGAAAGAAAAGTCCAGGCCAGGGAGGAAAATGTTTAAGGGCCCCTATTAGTGGTGGTTCCAGTAGCTACAAACACCCTACCAAGACCAAATAAATTTCAAATATTTATACCTTNGTCAGTTCTGTGTTATTCTTGGAAAAACAGAGTGGGGTAATAACGTAACGCAAATTACAAATTACTGTAACGCAATTACTTTTTCAGTAATGCAGCAGTAATTGCATTACATTTTACTTAAATTAACGCAATTGTAATGCAATTACTTTTTAAAAGTAAATGAAGTAACTTACTAGAGCGTTATTTTCCACATTTTTTATAAAAATAATAGTTTTAAAAGTATTACAAAAACAAGCCTATGAGATATCGAGAATCAATTTAATTTATTTTTGATTTTGTCGACTCCAATAATAGTTAACAATATTATTAAACATTCCGGGAATTATATTTATTACTTCATAAGCAGAAAGAAAATAGTTCGATTTAAAAATAAAATCGAATTAAAATTAATTATTATTATTATACTATACTTCCTGTCTACTTATATGGCTATATACCTATATAGACATTTATTTTAAACTGATATACTTACCTACATCAATGTTAATACCTTACTAGACTGCAGTCACCATTTATAATTAATACTATATTAAAGTATATATATATATATTTTATATAATATATACTACCCAACCAAAATGTAAAT